CCCCCCCCCCACTTCATGGATAATTTTTAAAGTTAAATTTCTAGTATTATACATTAATAAATACAGTATATTTTGTTTGTTTTTTTAGGAAGTGTATTTATTTAAAAAATGGTGTTCCACACAATAAACTGCAATAAGTAGCATGTTTTATTATTTTTGATTAATTTCTAATAAAAAAAGGAACCTGTGAAGACTAAAATAAAATACAATTACCATTACATATGTATTTAATTTAGTTTTAAACAATGTGGAAAAAACGGTAAAGTTAAAAAATATATATTTTTAAGCTGTTATGCTTGTGAGTGTCACAGAAACATGGGCGATGGCAAAGCCACTCACAAAGTGAAGACCTTGTTCCACTCAGGGTTGAGATTTTTGTAAACAGTGTGGGTCTGCAGCCGATCATTACTCAGCTCCACCACACAAAACGGGTCACTTTTACCTGCCAAGCACAGAAGAAAAGCAGACATGTTCAAAGTTTGGTTAGTTTAAACTTTTTTTTCTGGAATTCTAATCCATTCCCTAAAATCATTCATATATTTAATAAATATTAGATACTAGGTTTATCCGAGATTTAATAATAAGATTATTTAATTATTTTAGCCCCGGTTTTGCATGTATCACACAACGGTGTTACACCGTAACAGCTGCAAGCCATTTCTATCAGAACCCTGGGAAACATGAGCAACCATACGATAAGCTCTAGGACGACTGCACCCTGGGCGGTCGCAAAGAGGTGGTGGGAGGGAGGCAAACGGGAGAGGACTTTGAAAGTAAATGGCGGTGAGAACACAGAGGTCGACGTGGCTCTGAAAACCCGAGAACTTCTGAGCAGAAGATAAGGAGAGCTGTGAGCGTGAGGGAAACACAGCCGCTCCGTGATCAGTGAATGTGGGGCGAGCGGGTGGGATGGCAGCAGCAAGGATACAATAAAAATAAAAAAAGAAAACAAGGATAAAAGAAAAACACAACCACTGAATTAAATGATGGAAAAGGGGTAAAAAAAAATCTTCACCATGATTTCTGCTAAAAGAAACATATTTTTTAATATGGCATTTTTTTCACAGGATAAAAAAAAACGGTATTTCTGTGAGACTTTAAGTTTCAAAACATGACATCTGGTGCATGGATAATCATATGGTATTATTTTTAACTAATTCAAACAAAACTTACAGTTCAGAATTTACTTGTAAAAAATGTAAAGAAGACTAACAGGAATGAGGTTTGGAGGGGGATCACATTCAAAGTATTTCCTTTCTGTAAATAGCTCAGTCTGTTTATGAGTTTTTCATGTTTCAAATTTTGTTGTAAAAAAATTACATATATTAAAAAACGAGACCAAATTAACACACTTGCATCTCTTCCTCATTTCAATTTCCTCAAACTGAAAATAACAAAAGTGATCATTTAGACTTTGATCATTGTGCTTCATTAAAACCTGTCAGGAGCTGTTTGTTTATTCAGGCGTATCACTTTAACAGACTGAGCCAGAAAAGTTCTTTAAAAATTACATCACAAACAAATTTAAAGGGAAAATACCAACAATCCTAAGGTAATAGATGACGAGCAATGTTGCATAATAAAGCTCAATAAATTGGAGATTGAGTTTGTTGCTCCCCCGACCCTTAAAACAAAATACACTCGTGTGTGCGTGTGTGTGTGTTTGTGTGTGTGTTTTTGGAGAGGCGTGTGCGAATGTCATTGATTGGTGTGATTTTCTTCAAATGTTGTGACAAGGGCAGGACATTTAGTGGGTGCACAAAGTAAATGTCACTATGATCAATGCCGAGGCGTGGGTGTTGCCTTTCATATCTGTTTGTGGCGTTCTATTGATCCGAAGGGTTTCAAGTTGATATTGACAGCTATGACTTAAATGCAGCTGAAAACGAGATACATAAAATTGACAAAAAGGCAAAAGAACTCAACAGAACACTTCTGAGAACGATTATTATTTTTTAAATATACTAAACTGCTTTAAATTAAAACTCCCTTGGAGTTTGACTGATAGCAAAACTTATGTTTATATATTTAAACAAGTCAAATTTGATATAAATATCATAAAATCTTTCGATCCTTCTGTATTTAATGTGGACTTTCATCAATTATTCTAATGTTTCTCCCCCTCAAATCAAGTCGATAATTAAATTTAAACGCAATCACCCAAATGAATACGTGGAAATTATTTCCCTTCTCTTCCCCAGTTTATTTTTTTTCCCTCTAATATTCCATTTTTAATGACACGGTTGGATGTGTTGCCACAGAGAGCCAGTTGTTATTGGGGATGAACTTTCACCTTATTGGCCGCCAGCACCAGAGGCGGCTGTCTCAACCAATTACACGCTCGGGGCTTGAGCGCCACTCAGTGACCGTCCAGGTAAGTGAAGCTCCTCCTCCTCCACCCCCTGTCTCAACCCTTTCTACAGCGTCCCGTCTCCGTGACACTGGCAGGCAGAGGAGCGGAATCAAATTAATTTCCGAGAGCTCTGAGATAAGTGTGGAGGATGAACGTGGTGAAGAGGTGAGGAGGGAGAGCGTGACTGTCCCTCGGAAAAGCTTCGAGTTCACCGAGAGTTTACGGTCGGACGCGGAAGCGCCGTCGCCGCTCTCGTCTTGTCATTAGTCACAGGTTAAACTGTAAATAAGCCGCATGGTGCGCTACATTTCTCGACAAATCAAATAAAAGAAAATGTAAGCTTTGCTTTTACCTCGAAGTGAAAAAAAAAGTATCGAAGCATCTAGAGGTGCTGATGAAACCGCTGCTACAAGTGCCCGTGTGCGTGCGTGCGTGTGTGTGTGTGTGTGTGTGTGTGTGTGTGTGTGTGTGTGTGTGTGTGTGTGTGTGTGTGTGTGT